CCGTGGCGGAAAAGAAGGTCAAGCTGGACGAGATGCGGGCTCAGGCGATGGAAGATGCACAGGCCTCAGTCAAACCACCTGGTGGCGCTGATGACGATGGTGGTCGTCAGGTTACTGCACTTGGGCTTGATGCTACGATGCTGGGCAACGCTCTGCGAGACCTCGGAGCAGGCGACCAAACTAACAAGTTGGTTGAAGGAATTGACCATGCGTTGCCACACATCATTGCCAATGCAAAGTCACTATTGCGGGTAAGGCTGGTGATTCGGATGTGGTTGCAGGTGATGACGAAGCTGCTAATGTGGCGGCTGTTCAGTCTGCTCAGAAGCAAGCGGCGGCCAATGAGGCTAAAAAGAAGGAGAAGGCTCTTGACGACGCCAGTGAGGGCGCGCTCAAAGCGATGCTGGAGGCAGCAAGTGTCGCTGTCCCAGCCGACCTGGCGGAGTTGTATGGTGCTGCCAAGAAGCTACTCCAGTCCAGGCAGCAGAGCAAGCTCCAGGTGCGTTGTGACGCGATGCGGCATGGCATTGTGGGTTGCGATGACTACTAAGTATGGTGATAGGGCAGCTACATTGAGGGCGACTGCGGGACCTTCGATCTTGGCTGCAAACGGGGTACCTTCTGTCATGGAGCTGGGCACTGATACTGATTTGGTGCTGTCTCATATAGGATGCAGGCTGAATGCCCAATCGAACCCCGCTCGCTCGCCTGGGCACCCTGGATCGGTCGATGGGGCCATGCGGCCATCGGCTTCGGGCCCCCTGGGGCCTTCCTTGTCGGCCTGCGATGGTGAGCAGCGCCTGGGCGTGGCCCGTGGCGGGTTGGCGTCAGGGGGAAGTGGAAAGATGCCTCGCGCCGACAAGACTGGCCAACCACGCTGCCACTGCCAGAAGATGGCGGCACAGACGACTACCGTCAACCCTGATGCCGCTGGACCTCTGTTGCAATATGTTGAACAGGCACGAGATGCAGCCGTTCTCGTGCAGGGGCACACGTCTGATGCTGGCATGCTGCCCAAGCTCCGACAGCAGCCCAAATACATCGGCTACCATGGAGTATACCTTGCTGCCGAGAGGACGGAGCTGGATGGTCTTAGTGCAGGGGTGGCTGTCATCGTGCCAACGTTGGTGACGATTACGGCGCCACCTCTGTTAGCTTCGCCTACTATTTGGCCTGCCAAGGCGGTGGCTGCACGGGTGAACTGGGGATGCAAAGGTGGAGTGGTGCTTGTCTCGCCCTACCTGAAAGGTTCGGTTGGGCTTGACACCTTCAACCTGGCGGTGCTCTATGAGCTGGCACAATACCTTGGAAGACACACTTCTCGATCGAGGCCATGGGTTGTAGGTGGTGACTGGAACCTTGAATCCTATCAGTTGCGAGGGCAGGCATGGCTAGAGCAGATCCAGGCGATGTGCGTGGTTCCAGTTGGTGCCGCATGCAGGGTGCACGCGAATACTGAAGGGCGCACATATGATTGGTTCCTATTAAGCGAGGCGCTTGCATCGAGAGCGGGATTGCCGAAGATACTGGATGACAAGATTCTGTCCGCGCATTCGCCAGTTGCCTTGCCGTTTGCTGACACTGATCGTGATATATGGGTGAGGTTCCTGTGAAGCCACGGCAGTCGCCCAAAAGACCGAATAATGGTTGCTCGAGGTGTCCACCGGACTGGGTCCCAGTAGGGCGCACCATCGAGGAGGTCGATCGTCAGGATGCGCTGCAGCGTGCATGGGACATGGTATTGATGATGGCAGTTGAACAGGAGATTTGTGGACGATGCGACAAGGTTGAAGGGGAACTGGGACACACAAATAAATACACACAAATAACCAGATTCCCCATATGTTTCCATATCTTCTGGGTTTTTGTCTTCCCCCCCACTTCCCATGTTTTCGCATATGCTCTGGGGGATCGACGATTAATTGTGTCTTTGTGTTTTTTCCCCTCCTGAGATTTGTGGACGATGCGACAGGGCAGGTGCAGGCAATAGAGGACACCGTGGACGAAGTGGGCCTACGCAGACCAGGTTCGCCAGGGCACCGTGGAGCCCTGCGGGAGCGAGACGACAGCATGGACCTTGATTGCGCGCATGGCTGCGAGCTGCTAGAGTTCCCTCCTGATTTAAGTCGGGCGCGTCCCCCTACAGGGGGATGTTCGACGAAACATAAGAAAATACACCCAAAAGGTAAAACAAACTCGAAAAATAGTCCCCAGACAATAGTTGGACTAGTTTTTGATTATTGTTGGGGTATTCCATCTTTTCCTACAGGGGATGTTCGACGGAAAATTTAAAAAAATACACCCAAAATACCCCCAAAAAGGTCAACAAATACTCCAAATATAATCCCCAGACTATGTTTGGACTAGTGTTTGATTATTGTTGGGGTATTCCATATTTTTCGTCGAAGCTCCCCTCGGTAGGAGGACAGGCCCGACTTAATGCTAGATGGGCCAAGCATTTGATGCAGGTGCGGGTATTCTGGTGTAAGATGATTGAGCAGTGTCGGAATGGGGGCAGAAGTGCGGGTAAACTCTACCTTCCAGATTACGTGAGACCGCATGCGGGAAAGGTCGTGGCGCCGCAGACCACGCCTGAGGAGCTGGCCGAGGCCTGGAGCAGGTTCGAGGCTCAACTCCCCCACGCCAGCTCGGCAAAGGCTCACAACAACAAAAAAAACGTCAGGACGAAGGCGCGCCACAAGAGGCGCCTCACCGAACGAGATGATCACGAAGGTCAGCTCAAGAGCCTCAAGTTGCTAACCCCGACGTTGCGGCTGGCGAGATCGCCGGAGGACGTCGTGTTTGTTCTGAGCAGGGTGCACGAGGCGCAGGACACGCTGCAGCACTTGGATGAGTGGGATGTCTCTTTCTTCTTGGCCGATTACAGGGCAGTTTTTAATACATGGGATTTTTTGAAATATAGGATTTTAATACATGATCAATTCACGAATAAATTTATGCATGATCTGATTGTTGTGTTTAGTACTAAATCCCTGCATGTTTCATACATGTTCCGCACGCGGAGCATGTATACAAAAAACGGCACTTGACAGTATACTGGTGGATCGAGAGTTTCTGAAGCCGGCGTGCAGAGTGATCGAGACTGCAGACGATCTGATGGCTACTCAGCAGGAGGAGGCGGACAGGTCTTGGAGAGCATGGGTCAAGACGGCATTCGACAAGGGCGCAGGAGCAGCTCCTCGTGCTTCCAAGACAAAGGCCATGGAGGCAGCTGTCACACAGGCGGATGACCCTCAGCCATACCGACTTGCAGATCGCGGGACGGACTGGTGGAATGAAGCGTGGAGCTGCCACGATGGACGGAGAGTCGGGCCGCCGCCGGACCACGCAAGCTGGGAAGACCTCCCCAGGTTGAGCCCTGACGATTTGGTGTCTGCTGCCATCACCCTTCCTTGGGGAACAGCAGGTGGGATCCGCGCGCCTGCATCCAAGAGCCTTCCGGTACTTGTCGCACGCAGGACGTGTTGCTCTCTGTTCCCTAGTTGCGGCATGTGGGCGCATGCTGGTGTGGCCGTCTGGTAGGCTTGTCAACGAGATGGTTCGCGTTGCCAGGCCTGATGGGGGACGCAGGTTGATCGCATCAGTCGAGGGCCTAGTCAGGTTGCGGGCCCGAGCCAGGCGATCTGCATCGGGGGGGGGGTTCGAGATCACGGTAGTCGACATATTTGGGGTAACCGAAGGGGCTGTTCATCGAGCTTCTCGGCCTATGAGCACTACATCCAAGCTGGAATTGCAGATAGACTGGGTGAATGCTCTATCCCAATATTTCTTGATATGTGGAAATGCTTCGAAGCAGTGAGGTATGATGCATTGATCGCTGATGCCAGGTCT